AATACATTAACAAACAATTAGTTGTCATGAAATCTTTCAACATTTATCCAAGAACATGATCAGATGAAATAATTAGCGCAACCAAAACAAAACAAACCAAAAAAAAAAAGAAGAAAAAAAAAAATTGAGAATTCTACATTTATTTAATGCACACATAAAGAAGAAGAAGAAGAAGAAGAAAAACGATACATTTGAATAATAAATGAATAGAGATTTCTACTTTTGTACTGTTCAAATGGAATGCATCCAATGATCATTTTTAAAAAAGTCTGGTATTTGATCTTCGAAGCGTTGCATAACTTTATAGATACTTTTTTTCCATGACGATTCAAGATCTTTTTGTTGTTGTATTGCAAGAAAAAATTCTTTTAATGCTGCTTGAGCAGCTTTACTAAAACTAATTGGTACCTAAGATAAAAAAAAACATTAACGATAGTTTATAATTAAAAAAGAAATTATTGTGTTACATTTATTTGATTTGAACGATTATAATGAAGATTAAGAATTCGATAAAGTTCACAATTAGGTGTTACAATTAAATCATCTGTATTACGAATACCTTCAGCTAAACATTGTCGAGCATATTTTTCAATCTGTTGATAAAAAAATTCTCTAAAATAATCAAAATCAATGATTAAAATGGCTTTTTTAAAATTTATTTGAATCTTACCGAAAGTTTGAAAACCATTTAACTAATTGTGCTGTTATTAATTTATTAAAACGAACATCAGGAAAATAAACTTTCAATACAGCCGAATTTGGATAACGTGTATAGAAAAACATTAATTTTGCTTTTCGTAAATGAAGTGATGTTAATACTGCCCCGTACATAAAACAAAAAAAAGAATAAAATGCAGATGCTATCACTTATAAGATTCAAACGGAAAAGCATGAGTGCGCATCAAGAGATTAAAATACAATGAGTTAATGAGGCTAATTGAAATGGTTACACAGGTTAATTGATTCTTTCTTCAGGGGATAAAAAAACCTAGAGAAGACTACTTATTTGAAATCCATTGTATTCGATAGATTGTTGATCAGATTTTGTTGGATTATCATCGGATGAACTTATTTCATCATCAGTTAAATCATCAAAATTTGATTGTGGTGTAATTTTAGATGTAATACGTGGTGATAGACGTGTATCAGTTACCTAAGCAAAAAAAGTGAAATAAAAAATTTTGTTTTTATGAGTTTATTTTGTTACTTTAGTGCGTCGTTTTTTTGGTGTTGAAAAATGAAATGGATGATTATCAGATGTTGAATGAGCAAAACGAGATAATGATGTTGGTGATGGAAAATGATTGACAAATGAATTATTAAAAAGTATTTGGGAAAAATATGGATGATGATGATGATGATGTACAGTTTGAGGAAAAAGTCCTGGTGGCATTGGTAGTGGAGGCGGAGGAATATGTTTAGATTCCATAGCAACCGAAAAAAGTTCTTTTTGAAGATTTTCAACAAATCTTTCCATTGCTATGGGTGATGTAATATTATTAGTACGAGCTAGATCTTGTATATAATTAAGAAATGGGATATTATTAGTTGGAAATGGTAATATTGTTGAAGATGGAATTGGAAGAGAATTCTATAGAGAAAAAAAATAAGTTTAAAATTTAAAATAAGAAAAAAAAATCATACTTGTTTTTCAATTGATTCATTTATTTCACCGATTTCTTCTTCTTCATCTTCCGATGATGATGATGGTGTGGAAGAAGTTTGTTCATTTTGATTTTGATCGATTTTAACAAGTTGTTGTGGTTTCGGTTGTTTTCTTGGACGTTTATTTTCATTTTTAATTTCATGATTATCATCATGAGATGGATATGAACGTTTTCGTTGTTGTTGGTTAGAATCAATTGTTATTGATGATGATGATGTTGGAGATGATGAACTAATACTTCCATGTGGTGATGATAATGATGATGTTGTTATTGATTCAATTGAACGTTTTTCAATAATTTCTTGTAAAATTTTTGTATGTGTAAATGCCATATCATTAAGATGATTTAAATGTTGATGAAAACGTGTAAGTAAATAAGGTGAAAGAGTTGTATTATTATTATTATTTGTCGATGAATTCATTCTTACAAATCAACACTAACAGATAGGAGAATATAAAAAAAAAAAAAGAATAAGTAAATTTATTGTAAAGTAAATCTTTATATTCTCTTATCTCTGTGAACTTTACTTAAGTTAGAAACAGCATCTCTACGTGCCGTTTTTCTGTGTTTTTTTTTAACATTCACACATCTCTCGAGAGACACTCACCATTTAGCAGTAAATTTATTCTTGACTCGTCCCAATGATCTTTTTTTTTTTCTTCTTGTGTTGTGTGTTGGTAGAATAATGTCTGAAAGAAAGAAGAAAAAGAATAAGAAGAAGAAGAAAATCAACCACTCCGTTCTCGTTGTCTTAAATGCGAGAAAGAAACGAGAGTGAGCAAAAGATATTTCAACCAATGTCTTTGTTAACTAAAAGAACATTGCAACTAATAGGAAACGAGAGAACGATGAACGTAAGACGAATGAAAAATCAGTGTGTGTGTGTATACATCACCTGCATATATATTCTTTAAGTTAAAGAAGCATCTGCGCATGTATATATATATATGTGTGTGTGTATATGAACGTAAAGATATCGAATTAAAAAATGCATAGCCTCAAGGTTGACAATGTTGTTTTAACATCTTTTATACATTTGTAGAGCTTAATGATTTGATAGACGACGTAATGAATGTGTCAACATATTGAACGCGTGCCTTTCTTTTGATAGAAGATTTCAAATAATATGTTTATTCATCTATTGTAAAACAAAATCAACAAGAGACTCGATGATGACGCCATTTGGATATCTGAGTAGTCTGTCAATGGAGCATGATTCGTTGAATATGATTGTCATGGTCGATAAAAAGACAAAAAGGTAAAAAAAGAAAAATAAAGAACGACGACGTGTCTTTTTTCTAAAAAAAAACACAATATCCTTGTTGATTGACGAAATGTCTGACACATGTGATCGACGGTCGCGCATTTTTGAACATCATCACTAAGGTGAGAAGAGAGGAGTAGAGATGTGACGACGTGTCAAGTGAGCGATGTATCTCATCTTCTCTCTTATTTATTCTATATAATTCAAACATCTGTGTCGATTGAAAGTAATCATTATCGAAATATAGGACAACGATTGTTTCTATTTTTAAAACAGAAAAAAAGAGAAATAGTTAAATCAGTTTTCTTCAATTGATATATAACACACAAGCTATCTTTTTGTTTTTTAAATAATCTCTCACCGTTAATACATTCATTATAGAACGTTCTTTCCTTTTTGTGTCCTACTTTCTTTTTTTTTTGCTCTCTAGTTTCCTTCTTTTCTATCGGCTTAGCAGTAATAATAACAACAGAAGCAGCTATAACACAGGAAATGACAAAAGTCTCTACATTTTCTCCTCTCGTCTAATAAAGACTTGTCTTGAGCCAATTACAGAAAAGCACCCGCCTCGAGGGTAAACCAACTAACCCATTCAGAAAACATTTTTTGTCTATACTAAAAGGATTTGATTGAATCGTTGATGAATAGGTGGTGTTCACCTGCAATGGTTTTTATATATACATTAGAGAGAGAGAAAAAATATCTACACAGCTGGATAGATGAAATCAAGCATGAATGATAATCATCGATCAATTGATTATATTAATGTTATAGTGAAAACAAATTTATTTAATACGAGCATGTATATAATCCGACAAGCAATGATCATTGTATTACTCAGCTGTGTCCCCCATCATTTTCCACACCTTCTCTTTTTAGCTGTATAAATCTGGTGCTAGTTTCTATTGTTACTCCGCCCTTGTTATTGTCATCATCGTTTACAGACAATTTGAAATTTTCCATTACATCGATACTCATTTGATTATATTATATATGTGCGTGTGTCTCAATGGTGATGAAATCATTCGTCAAAATAAAGGCGAGAGAAGAGAGAGAAAAGTTAATTCTCTTCTTTCGTGTGAGCAGATGCCAGGGAGTTATGTTTTATCTCAAAGAAAATAATCTTCGATATTGATCTGTAGGTGTATGTCTCATTCTTTACCTATAGATTGAAAACGTGCATTCAAGTGATCAAACACATGTCAACATAATTCTATTCTTTTTGTATCTATATATATTTATCTGAAGAATGTTAAAATGATATATTGTCATGCATTGTTGATTTCTCTTCTGAAGATAGATTTTATTGGCAAAAAAAAAATAGAAAGCTTTTTTTTTTATCATCATTTATTCTAGTCTTGCACAAATGTCATTCTATTATTTCCTTTTTTTTCTCTCTTTAACGAAAGAGGGAGATGGTTTTATTCTCTCTATGGAGAAGAAGAAGGAAAAAAAAGCGAGAACTTTTGATTAAAAGTAAAAGTTGTCTAATGAACTAGACGAGCAAAAAACACACATATATATATAAACACAATGAATGCATAGATCAAGTGTGAAATACATCCGCATTACTAATGACGTCCCACTAGCATACGTTGTTCTTTATAGAGAGAAATACATGATAGATCATTTATGTAGCTAGAAAAATGCAAATTGAGTCGTTCTTTCAAATGAAGACAAGCGTAGCAAATTTGAAATACATGACAAATGGAATGTAAACGAAGGTGATATCCTCTTCTTCTCCTTCTTCGATTAAGCAATACTAGACATCCATCTGTCGAACAATTAAAAATTAAAACAAAAAAAAAGATAAGAATGGTTAACGATTTCTTCGTTCGAATACATATAAATATTAACAAGTGAAGATACTATTTAAGCAATTTTCTCTCTCACTTATGTGAAGACATATCAAAGAACATACGTCGTTGAATTCTTTGCACAACAATAAGGCTACTGTAACACTCATCATGATGAGGTGTTTGATTGAACATGAACAACAGCCGATGCCGCTCACTTTCACTGCCACTTCACTGTACGTGTGTATGTGTGTGACATACTCAATATGCAAGAAAAGAATTGCATGTATGTGTCGATGTTTAACTTGATTAGATAGATTGTTGTTCACTTTGATGTGTATGTGTGAGATGGGATATTGTGATTTCAACTGTCGTTCATTAAAAAGATCAACCCTACCTGTGTGTGTATGAAATGTATTGCACGTGTGAAAGATAGTGAACTTTGCATAGAAGATTTGTAATCAATCAATTAATCTTCCATCAAACATGTTCTTTGATAAGCAATGAAATAAAAGATTCTTTACTGAGGATATCAATGTTAATTAGTAACGAAAAAAAGATTAAACATTTGTCGATCTTTATATCATACGATAAAAATCGAATATCCTTGTATAATTTCGATTAGTAAAAAAAAATTTTGTTGAATAATCAACAGCCTTGATAAGCTTCTCACGCCTTTATTTATTCATCACAAAAAAAAATGAACTGTCTGGACTCGAAATTTTTTTTGATAGGAAAATATTACATTTCATCATTCAATGTAATAATAAATGAAAAGGCGTGATGATCTTATATTTTTTGTATATGTATGGTTTTATTTTATATTGTTAGTTGATTAAATATGTACATAATAAGAAAAAAAACCTAATCATGTGATTTATTAAAATAGTATCAACAAATTGAAGTGTTTCTATTGTCTTGTAAATCTATTTGTCATTCATTTTCTTTTTTTTTCATTAGAAAGTAACTCGTTGCAGAAATAGAAATTATGATCCATGCGAGAATTTCTTCACCTCGTCGTAGTTTATCTCCAAAAAAACGACGAACTAGTAGTAGAAAGTAAGATTTAGATGAAAAATTTTGAATTTTTATTTTTGTCTGTACGTAGAACATCAATCGCATCAGCAAAAATAATACAACAAACTAACGAAGGTTTCTCCTATTATATCATCAACATAATATTCATCTTTCTTCTTAGAACTAAAAGATCCAATTCCAAATAATTATTCGAATTTTTACAAGTATGGTAAAGGTCAAGTGGACATTAATAATATATTGAAAAATAAAAAATCATATCCAGTTGCACCTGATGGTAATTATTTTTATTGAAATAATAGAAAGAATTTTATATAATGTTTAGCTTTTATACCTAATTCAAGTTTTCGTACAGTATTTAAACGAAAAGAAATTAAACCAATTGAAGTAAAAGCATTTGAATTAAGATTAGTATGTGAAAATTAGTAATATTTTTTAAAATGAATTAATACAAATTATTTATGTTTAGGATATACTTAAAAATCTTAAGGTATAAGTATATTTCTTTATTATTTTATGAAAGAAGAAAGGAGAATTTGTATTTTTTTTTATTAATAATAGAAGTTAGAAGATTTCTTTCGTCTAGAATAATTTTTTTTTTGTTTTAAAGAATTCCAATGGGCAAGATAATGATGAATTTGTAGAATTAACCGATCCAGATATTGCATCAAAACCAGCTAGCGGAAAAAAATTAAAAGGTTTTTTTGTTTAATTTTTATTTTCTTCAATTATTTTTTTTTTGTATTATTAGGAAATCTTATTTCACGTAAAAAGGTGAATTGCATAAAAGGAATACAATTATTTTATTTTTCATTTATTAATATAGGCTCATAATGATCCGACATCAGAAGATACGATTCGTAATAAATATTGGAACAAGGTAATTTTATATTATATAAAATGCTGACTAGACATTACCCAAACCCAAACTATTTGAGTTTGGGTCATGTCTAATGCTGACAAGGGTCTATCTTTTACGCAAAGTCCACAGACATTGAATAGTGGGTAGCGTCTCTTGTATAAATAAATATATTTTAGGATACACTTCCAGATTTATTCAAACGAATGGAAAATGAATCATGGTGGTTAAAAGCAAAAGAAGAAAAACCTAATCTTTTTTCATTTCTAATTTATTTAAAAGAAATAATTAAATTAAAACAGGTTATTTCATATGAATCAGCATGTTATTATGTTGTTGAAATATTTCGGTAGAGTTTTTATTCTTATTACTTTATTTTTATTGATTCTTTTTTTTATATTGAAAGAATTTATGGTATTGAATCATTATTTGTCAATCAAATTCTTGATATTCTTCTTAGTCATATATCAATAGATGAAAATAATGTTTTAAATATATGTACTATTCGTACGATTGCTCAATTTATGATTGAACGAAAAGATATCATTGTTCAATTACTGGAATATGCACTTAATTTTCAACCGGTACACGAAAAAAAACAGATTTGAAAATTATATTTATTTTATTTATAGGATAATATATTTCGACAAGAAATTATCAATACAATCAAATTTATTACTGATATTAATGATTCAGATAAGATTAATTTAGTTCTTGATAATATATCTGCTGTTTATGTATGTATCAGTAGTTTCTTATTATTAGATAAATAAAAATTGCTTTTATATGAATAGGATTATCCAGAAGATAATTTTTCATTAAAATTAATTATAGAAAATATTAAAAATACGCCGAAAACAGAAGAATCAGATTCAATTAATGAAGAACAAGAAGAAGAAAATAATGATATTCATCCATTATTGAAAAAAATATCTAAAGAACGATGGTTTCCTCAAGAAAAAGTTTTAATCACTGTTGATTATATCCTCGATGTCATTATAATAAAATTATCAGATGCATCAAAAACATTGCTTAAAACATTAACGACACATCTTATTCAATTAAATCGGTAAATAGTTTTTAATTTAACCTTGATCTAAACAACAGAATTAAACTGCATTGAATCGATTTGAGGTTTTTAAAATCTCGACCAAATCCAATGTTTTATCTAGCGGGTGGATGGCTAGACATGTCCCAAACCCAAACTGTTTGGGTTTAAACATTTTTCAGTTGTCATTTATGTATACAAATAATACCTTTCACGTATAGAAAACAAGCAGAAAAAAACTTCTACACTTCATACATGTATATACCTGACAGAAATTGAAACACGAGCTGCTAGTCAAGTTTGGATCTCTAGACCAAATCCAAACCCATGCTACCAAACGGTTTGAGTTTAAGTTTGGGTTTGGGTCATGTCTACCGGTGGCGCCCACAAAAAAGTTCGATTCGCCGACCCAGGCAACGAGACTCAGATAAAGCACTGATAGGCGGCTCCCACCCGCAAAAAGGAACCTGAATAAAACACTGGCTGAATCCGAATGGAGATTTACTTATACGTTTTGGTTTCTGAGCAGTGTTTTATCTAGTGGGTGAGTGGCGCTCACTCGAAATTTTCATTTCGCCAGCCCGCCATTTTAATTTGCACATCTGAAAAAAGAAACCTGAATAAAACACTGGTATTGATATAAACTTATCGAAATTTTTTTTTAGCGTGATTGGTTATTCAAAAGAACAGTTGGATCGAGTTTCAGATATTTTTATATTACTATTATCACATGATGAAGCTGATTATCGATTAATTGCTGCAACAAATCTTGCTAATCTTAATACAGAAACTAAGGCTATTGTAATTGCATTACTAAACTCATATATCAATGATTCTCGAGTATATCTGATTATTGTTTTTAAATTTTTATTTATTATTTTATTCTATTAAGATTCTTGTACGAACTGAATGTTGTGATACATTAAAAATATTAACAGGTATCGTTTCTGATACTATTTTAAAAGATTGTGCAGATGATATTTTGCTTTTACAAGTAAATAATTCAATTAATTTTATTGAAATATTTAAATATCATTTATTTTTATAGGATTTCCCAGAAGAAAATTTTAGTCTACAAAATTATTTAAACGAAAAAAATCGTGTACCAACTCCATTAGAATCAATGGATGAATCATTATTATTATTACCCGTAGACGAACCTATTTCAACCGAACAAAATCTAAATATGAATCAAATAGATAAAAATGAAGATAATACTTTTATAGTTAATTCTCGTTCATCTTCTCCACAAACTAGTAAACGACCGTCAATTATAAATAGATTTTCTCTTCCAAGACTATCTCAATCTAATAATTTTACTGCTCGATCAAGTTTAATTCCACCACTAACACCTATTCAACCAGTTAATATTGATGAAAAAAGAAACTCTATTCCATTAGATAAAAGATATTCTCAACAGAAAAGTCATTCAATTTCTTCAATTAAAAGTACTATATCAGTCCAAATCAGTAAAAAACGGTATTTCTCTAAGAATCCTTTTTTCTTCAATATATATATTCTTTCATTATAGTTCATCACTTTTATCAAACACATGCAATTCATATGTAATTGAAAATAGTAAGAAAATCCAATACAAAAAAATCTTATCAATTATTTTTCATTTTTAGATAATATTGATCAAAATGAAGATGATGAATCATCACAATCAAATTTTTCTTCGCCGTCACAAACAATACTTAACGATGATTCTATTGACACAATTATTGAAGAACATAAACAAACAGTTGGTTTTTATCGTATGATACCAAATCGTCGAATACTTATTCCACATAAGATTACAATGGATAATATATTTGGTGATGAATCACATATTATGATTAATCAACACTTCTCTCAAGCACATCCTATAAATTTACATTCATTTCGATCACGATTCGATCTTACAAATACAATGAGTTTATTAGATTTTAATCATAATCAACAATATTTACATGAAATCGAATCAATTCAATTACTTTCATCACTTGTTATACGTTCTATACAAATACATAGACATTATGATAAATTTGTTCCCGGATTATTCTCAGCAAATTTTACAAATCTATTAAATATTTCACAAATGCAATTGAATTCATCAGCAAATATGAATATGTCAACAAAATTACCACCAATTATACATCAACGACCGACATCGAGACAATATGCTCATATTCAATCAAACGCAGAAGCAAGAGCAATTAGAGAAGGTATACAGATTTCTTATCAAAAAAATAAATATGAATATATCCGATAGTGTAGTAACCTATTATACCATAAGGACATTCGTAATAGAAGAGAATAGTGGGAATATTGTAATTTTTGACAAAGAACTGTACAAGTTTTCTCCAATCATAATTTGAAATATTTTTCTGCTTTTATTAGGAAGATTTAATGGATTCTTTAAAAATATATGTAATAATAATTAGATCAAGATAGTATAATGAGGAAGAGTTTTATATCAAGTGAAGATCGATTTTTGAATCTGGGTCCAGTGCTTGTAAATTCTCTTTGTAAGATTGCTTGATTCACCTTTCAAAATATATTCAAAAATGACAAGAAATTGAAAAATATTACTAAAAAATTTATCTCTTGATAAATATCGATAAAGAAAGTTCACAATAATACACAACATTCATCGTGAATCGACTCATTAGGTATTAGATTGCCACAGTAAACATACCACTATATTTAGAGGTGTAAGCCGGTAGGATAATCGGCGGCGCAGCGGCTGTAACTAAAGTGCCTTAGCAGCGTGGTGGCCACACAGCTTACATTTCTAACTATATCATCAACCAATACTTTTCATTTAATGAACATAGTATATTTGTATAGGATAAATTGATAAGATAGATACAGATGAAATCTTTTCTTTAGACAAAGATTGAGTATTATTGATCTCAATTAAATATTCTTTTTTATTTTTATGACAGGTATTAATATTTACAAAGCTCAATATATGGAAGGTATATTATCTAACCTTCGTAAAACTCATAAAGAACAAACCAAAACAACACTAACTTCATCATCTTCACATCTTTCAAATTCGAAACAAAACGATATTACACATGCTTGGCTTCTTATCAATTGTATTATCTTAATCTAATTTTAAAATTCCAGTTTTAATCTTATATTTCTAGTATTAAAATCTCACGGTATATTTTATTCGGAAAGTTATCTTCAAAAAATTATTCAATTTTATCCAAAATTTCTACCATTACTTCATACAAAAATACCACAACATCGTATATATACTATTTGGAATGATCCAATTATGAAACAAATTGCATCAATATTAGGTCACAAACAAGTAAAATACAATAGAAGCAAAAAATATCTTTCGAATAATATACTTAATATTAAATTTAGAATGAAATATCAGTGAAAAGTTATACAGAATCATTAGTACCGCTAACAAACGATGAATATTCATTAAATAGTTTTGATTATTTATCATCAATACATCATGATGATTCTAAGAAAAAATTTGTACCATCTATTCGTGGTTCCAAAATGTAAACATTATTTACTTGAATTATTAGATTACATATATTTATATTTAGGAATATATCACGTCAAGTTCTCAAATCTTGTTTTGAAGATATGGAAATGAATTCAATAATATCATCAAATAATTCCATACGTGGGGAAAATCGATCAAAATTATATAAAGGTCGGGTTGATATACATTCTATGGTTAGTTTCGTTTTTTGAATATAATGAAGGAAACAATCTTATAATTATTTCTTTAGTTGGATCAAAAAGAATCTGTAAAAAATCGATCACAACAAATGACTAAAACAAGTGGATTCCTACCGATTATAGTACGAGCTCCGATGTGCCATTAATATTTTATGTATTTTGTAACAATATTTAATAAACTGAAAAATCTTGTTCGTAGTTAAAAAATTCTATTTGTCTAAGAGCGACCTCATTTTTACCCCTCCTCAGTATAATGTAGAATTGAATCGAAGAACGAATCAAAATTATACAGTCGAAGGGTTGGTGACGACGACGACGGCGTCGAACTTACCTCTATATATCAGCAGGTCATTTGTTGTTTATTTTGTAGTAACTTATCTTATAATCGAAAAAAAGGTTATCTAACCTTTTAACTATAACTTTCTATTTTCAGATTGTAATCTGTTTTTTATTATATTTGACTTATATTCATAATCATGTCTCAAGCTGAATTTGATAAAGCTGCTGAAGATGTAAAAAACTTGAGCAAAAAACCATCGGACGATGATTTACTTAAACTTTATGGTCTTTTTAAACGTAAGTTTAAAATAAAAACTATATATGAAATTGAATCTTTCTTTTTCAGAAGTAACTGCTGGAGATAACAACACAAGCAAACCAGGCATGTTTGATCTTAAAGGCAAATACAAATGGGAAGCTTGGGAAGCCAACAAAGGAAAAGGCAAAGAAGATGCTCAAAAAGCATATATTGCTTTAGTTAAAGAACTTCAAGCTAAACAATAAATATTGATTAGCAGAATACAAAAAAAAACTAAACATTTCATTTCGATACATGGAAATTTCGTTTTGAATTTTTTTTAAAATAAAACATCCTTTTTTCTACAAGAATATTATTTTTATTTTATAAAAAAAATATCATACATCATATATTGGAAAAGACTTATCTATATCCAATGATGAAACTATTAACGGATTTCTTGTTGACTGTTCTATATAATCGGAAGATTGATGGGTTGTTGGTAAAGGTTGTTCCCATTTCATCAGTTTATTAAAATAAGTTTTGAGTTGTTTATATCGAAAACAAATAAGAAGAGGTGTTAGTAGAATAAGTAATGGTGAACAAATAATTAAAAGAATAATCAAAAGTACAATTAAACTTAACATCAGAAGACGATGGAGAAATAATGATAAACGAGAATGACCAAGTCTTAAGAAAAATACAAAGTTGTATAGAAGATATATGTATGTGTACATACCGATTTCGGCAAGGACCACGTTCGAAATGTAATAAGAAAAAATCATTCTATCGAAAGAAAAATAAAGATAAATAGAAAAATTTGAAAGAAAAATAATTCGTACATTTAAAGGTTTTAAACAATACCAACAGAATGTATGTTTACAATTAGTACATATGATTTGTGCACAACCAGCTACTCTTTCTATTAGAAAATGACATCGTGGACAATATTTTATATTTTCATGAATTTCCATTTCACATGATGTACTAAAGAAAATTAATCGAAAGCTAAGAATTTAATATACAAGCTGATGTATATTTACAGTAAATTAGAGCAACGTTTATTTCGATGCCATTGACATCGACATTTAAGACAAATTTTCGTTTGACACTATTGAATAGAAATGAATTTCTATAGAATAATAATATTAGTCTTACTTTTGTGCATGTCATTGATCGTTTATTAGATATTATTAATATATGACCACAATCAACATGTGGACAATAAAATCGTTGAGGATCATTAGTTACCTCTAGATTAATTGTAAATGAATAAATGATATTTAGAAGAAGAAAGAAAAACAGTGGAATACCGTGATCAAGTAATAATTTATTATAAAGTTGGAATTGAAGACTATCAAGAAGTGATCGAATCTAAGGAAAACAAAATTCGGATATATATTTTCAATATTAGATCGAATTAAATACTTCATCTAAAGATAATAAATGACTGCATCCAGTATTTGGACATCGAATTGGTATTGATCTAAATACTACAACAGATTAAAAAGAGATCCTCTCGATTCGACTCTTCCCGAATGAAAGCAGAGTTTCCTACACATCCACAGATATATTACGTATGGAGTATGAGTATCATATTTGCTAAGGAAAGTCAAGTTCAACTACGAAAATGTAAGCAGATTCACGATCGAATAGTGGCGTAACCACACTGGGGCTTAACCCCATCACCCGGATTTTTTAGTTACCGAACTTGCCAAGCAAAAGATCCAAAAGAATAGACAGTTTTGTGGCTGAGCTCCGTCATCCTTAAATTTCCGGTTACGCCACTACAATAGAGCTATACTTCACGAAGAACAAATAATTAAATGATGTACAACTAGCTTTACACTGTATTATAATTTTCGTTAAACGTAACTCTGTGCTAAAGAAACCTAACTGTTCAAGAATAATGAGCGTAATTAGTAACTGATCAGAGACAAAACGCGAAGAGACGGATTGAGAGTAAACCGATTAAAAATCTTACACTGTATATAATTGATTGATACAATACTGGCGTACACACTATAAACATAACAGAGTATGAGAATATATTAAAGAGTATATACGAAACCTGTTTACAAAATCGACAATGACATAATTCTATTTGAAAAATATCTATTTCATTTTGAATATTATTACAGCAAATTGAACATTGAAATATCTGTTCATCATATAAATTTAACCGTTCTTCCATCATTTCAATCAAAAAGAGAAAAAAAATAAACTTTCTTTGTGCTTTCATTATTTAAATATAATGTTAATATGAAAAAAAGAAAACTCGACAATATATAATATATATCTGACTAATCATCTTTACAAAAAAAAACAATTAAATCTATCATAGCACTTTTTGTTTTAGTCAACTATATTTCGGTTCAAAAGTCCGTACAAAAAAAGAAACAAACAAAAATCTTTCAAGAAATATATACAAAACACATATATCACGTAATGAATATAAAAAAAAGAAAACTAGACTAAATCAATTTATATCTTCAACTGTTTTGTTCATTATTACTTCATTTTCATTGTTTGCTTCGATTTGTTTATTATCATCTGTAGTATCATTTTCATTTACTATTTCTTCAGATTTAGCTTTGGATTTTGTAGAAGTATCTAGAAAAAAAATATTCGAATAATTTTATAGAAATTTTTTTTTTCAATTCAACCTTTTTTTCGTTTAATAGTTTTATTTGAAGATTTATCATTCTAAAAACATAAATTTTATTATTAAAATAATTTATTTGATTTTATTTACTTCTTGATCTGTATTTACAGATTGTTTGGAAGTTTTAGTACGTTTTTTCGTTGAACGTACTGTTGATTTTCGTTTCGGTATTCGTTTACCTTCATCAATTGGTTCAACTAAGAAATTTAATATTCGTTCAGCATGATCAGTATTACGACCAGTCGATGGTAAACCAAGAACATTTGATATGGATCGTAATTCATCTTTTTTAAATCTAAACAAAACAATAGATAATAATATGGATTTATACTAGACATAATTTAAATGAATGCATTACTTGATTAAATTACTTAAATGTTTTTCATATTCATCACTTTGACGTTTAAATTCAAAGCCTTTGAATTCTCGAAGATTTTTTCGAATATTTGCTTTATTCTTCAAAGTATAAAAATGAGTTTTTGTTTTCGAAATTATTGATTTATCTTACTCCTCGTCGGCCGAAACAAACATAACGCATTCGAGATAAAGTATCACTTGAAGCATGAGTAATTTGATAATTAACTAAATAGAAATAATTCTTATTTGAAAAAAAAAATGAGGATTAATTATTAATCTACTTACTATATTCAATTTCACCTAATGGTTTACCATGACCCTAGATAAATGAATAGCGACAATTAGTAAAACATCATCTTAAGAAATTTACCTGTGGAATAGATAATTCTTTTTTAGTTGGTAATGATTCAAGTATTTCAAGACGTAATGTTGGCTTTCTCGAACGTTTTCCTTCAAGTACAATTGGTTGTTCGAAAAGTGGTTGTGTATCCATATCATCATCTGCTGTTGTTTCATTTTCTGAGTTAGATGAAACATCACGTTTTTCTTTTTTTTCATCGACATTATCAAATTTTTCACCATTCATTTGTTTTCCTTCATCTATTGGTAATGTTTCTTCAATAGAATCAACAGCTGGTTCTTTTACATTCTTTGTATCTATTGTAGTCGATGATTCTTCTTCTTCTAGTGATACTTTTTCCTTGATAAAAAAATGTATTAATAGAAAAATGAGATTTTTTTTCTTTTTGCTTACTTCTCCATTTACAGTAACGTCTTTGTTTGTATTCAAGTTATTTTCACTGGTCATGTCTTTTCTTACAAGATATCGATAGAATTGAATGTGTTTAGTTCAGTTTCTTTTCTCTCCTCCCCTTCGTACTACTAAGAAATACCAATAAATACATCAGATCGATAAATATATGATAGATGGAGTATAAATACATATCTTTCAAATCTATGTTTATCCATAAAAGGAACTGATTGAATTATGCACTTGACTAAGCTGAAGTACCACACTAATATATTTAAATCTCAATGAAAAATAATGGCGTGTCCTCGCGCCCTTATTCTTGAGATCTCGGGTTTTAAATAGACTTTTTCAGGAGTTCATATCTCGTGAATAGAGGGCACAAATCTTTTTCGTATATTAATAAGTGAAACCATCATGAAAACGATAAGAATAAGGAGTGCCAAGTTAGTTTTCATTTCTATTGTATCCTGACTTTATAGATAATTGATGCAAAAACAGATATGATTGAAATATGGTTTGTGAAGGTCATAGTAAGAAGGATGTTAAAAATTAATCTTTATCATTATATTTGCCAAATAATTAATTTTTAATTGAATAGTTAGACAACTTTCAATGAGAGGAAATAATGTTATTTGGTGATAACTATAGAGTTTATAATTTATTCTATGGATCACGTATTTATGCTTGCTTATTTATAAAGAAAATAATTCTTTTGACATAAGTCATACTTATTTATATAGAAATTTTAGTTCTTTCAATGGAGATAACAGATTACGAATAAAAGAAAACCATTATATATAAAATATGTTATTCATCATTGATGAAAATAGCTTACGACATTTTGTCGACACATGTGTATTTCTTATCAGTTAATCGACCATAAAGTTGTATGCAAGTACTAATAATACTGAATATAACAATGTATTTCAATAGAGTTTTTATATGAAGATTTGAATTTAAATCATCAATAATTTGTCTATCGAGCAAATCTATCTCTTCTTCATTCATATGATCATAAACAATATATCAAGGAATACATATTTATAAAGGGCAGTAAATATCATTCATTCAGATGTATGTTTTTAATCACAGTAGTTAGTAAACACTCTGTGATATAATCGTAGAAGAAACGAATGGGTTTTTACCCATTTCATATAAACATGTTCGTAGTATAATTTTTATTAGTCATTTTAGAATCATAGTTGAATTGAGTGGTAACTACATTTTTTTCTTCTGGCTGAATCTTACATCATACACTCTTTGCTTATCCTTTTCGAGAAGAATCGAAAAACAAAAAGAACAAAAAATATCGCTTCTTATATTCTAACTTCTACCTCTTTTGTTTCGTTGCTCGCCCACCTGATGTATGTGTATACTGTTATAATATGTTCACTCTCCTACCTTCTCATTCTCGAACCGAATTTATAAATAGAACAATCTCATTTCATTAGTATTTCGTTAAGCTCATCAATAAAAACCTTGCTCATTTTTTCTTCTCCTGATATAAGAGAAGTTTATCTATTGGTCTAAAAATACTAGTGACACAGTTGTGCATCTTGGCATCATTATTCAGGATTTCTATCAATACTGCACATCTTTCAGCCTGTGTTTTTGATAAAAATTAATTATAGATGTCACTTATACTAATTTGATTTTCATGCTTTTTTTCTCCATATTTTCATTGGTTGGTCTAGATCAGTTAGAAATAACAAATATGTCCCTGATGATGATAACTAAAATATATTTCTAATTTGCTTTATGTAACTAAATATTATTTATATTTTCTATATCATTTTATTATTTGATACATCAAAGTAAAGTGATAAATACATGTGCACAAATCTTTTTACATATGTTTTAATTCTAGACTTAATTAACATTCCTTCTATAAACCTTGATTAAATAATATTTTTATATGAAACATCATGTCGTCATCTTCATCCACAACAACATCCAACGATCAATGTGAACATTGTCATAGTACATATACATTTATTAAAAAAAAAGTAAACATAAATATATTTTCATTCGATATTTTTATATAATTTTTTTAGAAAAACTGCGCTGTTTGTCATCAATCTTATTGTGCAAATTGTGCACCACGTGAACGTTATCAAAATCAACCGATTCGTATTTGTCTTACTTGTCAGTTAATATCAAATACTTCAACAACAAACGATCAATTACTTGCATTAAAAGTTAAACATTTAAAAAGTTATTTAAAAGCAAAAGATATTTCAAATGATAATTGTACTGAAAAACAAGAACTTGTTAATTTAATAATAAATAATCGAAATTTACCATTTACACATGTATTTACTCAACCAACACAAACAAATCAACAACAATCTCAAACAACAGTGCAACCTCCACCACAACCACAAACACCAAAATCTGATAATAATTCGAAACCTTTCGCAAATCTTCAAAGTACAGTATCATCATTTGCGAATCAAATGAATAGTTTCGCTACAAATATACAAGATTATGTTACAAATACAGTATCCGGTGTTATAAATCAGACACTTCCTGATCAACCACAACAGTCAACAACAACAACTAATAATAATAATTCTAATAATGGAGCATCATTTAGTTTCAGTTCAGCACCTGATGGTTCATTTAATCATTCGTCTTCGTCATCTGGAAATACTACTCACACAAGGACAGCTACAGCAAACAGTAGTACTACTACTAATCCACAACAACAACAGCAAAGGCCTCCACCACCAGCAGCAACTACTAGTTCTTCTTCAGTAAGTTTATTGAGTCATAATCTAAAAAAAATAAAATATTTAATCTAATAATTTTAGACTGCAAAACAAAAGCCACGTCAAAAATCTCTCAGTGAAATTAATGAAGAAAATATTGAAGATTTAAATATTCGTGAATTAAAAGAAATCTTAGCAGCAAATTTTGTTGATTTTAAAGGTTGTGTTGAAAAAGGTGAATTAATTGAGAAAGTTCGACGACTTTATCGTGATAGATTAAATGCACAACTTAAAGGTATATCAATCTAGTTTATTTTCTAATTAAACAACATAAAAATCTTCTTCTTCTTTTTTTCAGCAAGAGAACTTGATGATTCAGTTGCTGGTGATAACGAATTATGTAAAATATGTATGGATGCTATTGCTGATTGTGTCTTTCTAGATTGTGGACATATGGTAAGTTCATATATCGATAAGAAAAGAAATAAAACGATTTATATAACAAAAAAAATCTATAATTAGTAGTTTCTTAATGTTATTTTTTGTTTAGGTAACATGTGTTAAATGTGGTAAATTGCTTAACGAATGTCCTATATGTCGATCGAACATTGTGCGTGTTGTACGCGTTTTTAAATCTTAAATTGTATTTTTCTCGTATTAAAAAAGCTTTTCTTTTCGTTTTTTTTTGTATTTGTACAGTTGCTCTTAAAGAAGAAGATTATTGTTTTTTCGAACAATTCATAAGATTATCTATGAACCTAAACCAAAGATATTAGAAAAAAAAACAAATACAAGTAAAATATTCTTTTAAGATTAGTCTACTCAATTATTCAACAAAATATCTTCGTATGAGAAAACTATCAGCTGTTCATTTTTGATCTATACTAATTATAAATTGTGTTAGGTTGTGATGAAAATGAATATTGATAGATTGAGTCATGTATAGAATTGCTAATGAATTCAAAAGAGTATGTATTTACCATATTCTTGAGATTTTTACAAATCTTTTTCAGTTTAACGTGATGGTTAAGTATGGAGTATAATTATTAGCGAATGAAGGGATAATGATTCATGTATTACAAAAAAAAAGAAAGACGAAGGATATGTCATGGTAACTCGGTGACTGGAAAACAGAATAATGTTCTTAAGAATATAATAAAACAATCAACCGAAAACGTATAAATGTGGCTGTAAAAAATGTCATTTTATAGTAGTGTCTGATGAAAATCAAAAAATGTCAGGTAAAGTTATTTTCATTCTGTTGTAGTTTGTCATTGAAAAATAAAAAGTGCATCGGCATGTTTGAAATAAGACTTATAAAATAATGACAGGCCAAATTATTTATTTTCCGTAACCTATAAAGAATCGTTTGTTCTATCAAATTTATGAGAGAATGATAGATCATTTTCATGATGGTATTCAGTATCTATTTGTAAAAACAATATAACTTCGACTGCAAATAATTGTTAGACAGCACTTTAACAACATTCATATTATTCTTTTTTTTTCCTCCTCTTTCGCTAAAAGGTGGTGTATATCTGTATATATACATCTTTCTTTTCTTTTTCTTTCCTCTACTTTCCACTTGACGGTCATGTTGTTCGATCGAGCCTGTCCTTTTTGCCGCCCATGAAAAAATACTATGAAATTTTCTTATTTTTCACTACTTTTTCGTTTACTTCCTGCACACTTATCTTTACTTTCGTCTATCTTAACAAACAGTAAGAAGGATGCGTACTTCCCTGGATATCTTCCTTGTGTTCGTCTTGATAGGAAGGATATAAATATTTTTTTTCTAAATTAAACGGCTAGTGACTAAGAAAAATTTCCGATTCTTCTGCAAAATATATATATCCTACACAAATATTGGCTGTCACAACAGCAGTTAACGATGTCGTGATGAATGGATTCTGAAGTATAATTTTTTCGTCTGTTAACGTTAAATAATTATTGACTATTCGTCTGATATATAAAATACGCATTCTTATTGATAGAGTTTTATATTTATTAAGATTTAGTCAGACTATTTGATAATACTGTATTATTACTTGACATGGTCGTTCTTTTAAAAGAAAATAAGCACGCTCATAATATTGAAACCATTTTTTCTACCTTTTTTTTGTATACCTCATGTGTTTCTGTTTACGTGACAGTGACATAAAAAAAATAATGTTTTAGATATAGGTGCACGTGGTAAATATATCAAAACAGCATAGAGGCAATATGTGTAGAACTGATAAAATACGAGTAATAGATAGGATAAAGTCGTATCTATTAATGAATATGATACTTATAAACCATTCTATTTTCATATAGGTTTTATCATTAAAAATTTTGTATTCTTTTAATTTATAGAAAAAATAATGGCGCCATTCAATCCAAAAACAGAATATAGCAAACTAGAAACTGAGGATATACGTGAAAATCCATCATCAGAGTATGTAATCAATGAATTAACATCATCCACTCAATCTTCTGATTCGATATCATCAAATGATTCATTTGAACCTCAAACACCTAAACGACCTGTTGTTAAATCATGTTTTTGGTCAACAGCTATTTTTTCCCTGAATTTTGTTTCATCAATCTTTATTATTAATTTATCTAAATGGTAAAAAAAAAATTCTAACAAATTTATTTTTATTTTCTCTTTAAATAGGATTTATGTTAAACATCATTTTCCAAATTTAACATTGACAACAATGAATTTTTTTATGACATTTATTCTTTTACTTATTTGTTTACAAGCAAAATTATTTACATATGTACGTTTACCAATTCTAAAAATGTTACCTGTATCAGCATGCTTTGGTGGTTTTATTGCATTTAGTAATCTTTCATTACAATATAATACTGTTGGAACATATCAACTTACTAAATTACAAGTCACACCAAGTATGTTAGAAAAATAATCATAGATTCGAGTTTAAAATATATGTCGTATGTTAATAGTTCTTGCAAAATGCCTTTAGATACTATAGCCACTGTTGAGTCCGAAATGATTTTGACAAAAATTTAAAATGTTTATAAACCGGGTCGAGATTTATAAACCGGTCAAAGTTGGTAATTTGACAAGTCTATAAATTCAAAACTGCCTAAATATCTACTATGAATTCGAGACAATAGTGCTCTTAAATTTGGTAACATCATGTTTCACCATGAGGATGTTGTATTCTCATATTGACACTTGAAATGATAAAGATAAGTTAATCACTTTGGTTTATCAATCAGTTCAAAATTCGTAAACTGATTTGATGCTTATGCAATATATTCTCATTTATTTATTCAATATTCGTTTAGAAACAAGCTAGATTTGTAAATGGAGTAGATGTTTATAAATCGTTCATATATTTATAAACTATACAAATACATTTATAAATGGACCGGATTTATAAATTATTCATGTATTTATAAACCGTTCATATGTTTATGAATCGAGTACATGTTTATAAATCAGGCATATATTTATAAATCAAGAAGATATTTATAAATCAAAAACAGATTTATAAATAGGCCCGATTTATAAATACCAAAATATTTATAAATATTTTAAATTTTCGGTTGAAAAATTTATGATTTATAAATCAATATAAATAAATCGATTTATAAATAGCCTACTTTCTGACTCAACAGTGACTATAGCGATTGAAGATCAAGTTGATTTAATGCCAGACAATTCCAGTATAAATCAGAGAAATAAATAGATGGGATATGAATGTAAATATAGCTGTAGTTTGAGTTCAAATGCTTGTTGTTGCACTAGTACTAATTTGACTACGGCGGTTCCAAAAATTACCCGGAACCGGATCCAGAATCGCGGTT